GTGGGTGAGGGCTTTAACTGCGCGCTCTGTTGCAGATTTTCATAGAAAATATGATCTCCCAAGTGGCGCTAAAACACCACGCCGCACTTGCAAAGCGATGGGCGGAGCGTCGGTGGGGGGAGGCGGGAATCAAAGTACGCAAACACCGAGTCTCACTTTTTTTATTCCGACAATACTTTCGATAAATTTACCGATAATTTGTCGACAATTTATCGACAAAATTTTGTTGACAAATTGTCGATAAATTTGTTGTTTTTATCGACAATTTGTCGGTAATTTTCCCATAAATTTACCGGTAAATTTGTCGAAAAATTTGTCGAAAATGGCGTTTGTCGACAAATCATTTGTCGATAAGGCACACTGCCCTACAGTAACCCAACAAAAAGTACATCAATATTCCGATTTTATGAATTGAAGGGATTACTGTAGAAACAGTGACCAGGTTCTTAAAAATCTTCTGCGGAAACAAACATCGCTTTGCTACAGTAGTCCGATAACTGCGATTCCATGAATTGAGGGACTACTGTAGCTACAGTAATCTATGAAAAATGAGCAATTGTTCGCAGATACCTCCGCCCGAATGACATCTACATGCATGCGGATGTCCGTGGTGCCTCATCAGTGATCATTCGGAATAAATCATTTGAGGAATCGATGGAAATCCCACCGAAAACCCTCACAGAAGCCGCCCAGATGGCTGTTTGCTACTCGAATGCATGGGAGGCTACTGTAACTGCATCCGCGTGGTGAGCAATTTTCTAATTTTCCTGGATTTGTGATCTTCAAATTGGGCCCAATGGTGCCGGAGAAATCGATGAAAATTAGGCTAAAATGGGCCTTCTCCAATAAAACTACCGTATCTCGAGTTACAGTAATCCTAGAAATATGAAACTTATACCATTCCACACGGCTCGCTGCGAGCTTTCAAATGAATATAATCATGGCTTTTTTTCAGAATTTTTTGGGCTACTGTAATTTGAGCTCAAAAATCAAATCTACCGTATCTCGAGTTGCAGTAGTCCTGGAAATTTGAAATTGCTACCATTCGACTTGGAAAGTCAAGAGCTTTCAAATAAGTATAATCATGACTAGTTTTGCAAGCATTTTTGGGGTACTGTAGTGTTCGTGGTGGGACCCAAAATATCCGGAAAATGGTATTTTTTGAAGCCTTAAACGAACTAAGCTTGTCTACCCTTTTAGATTGTTACAGGATTCAAAAAGACTTTTCATTTTCGGCCATTTTGGGCCCCACCACGAAAACTACAGTAACCCGAAAAAGTTTCTAAAACTAGTCATGATTATACTCATTGGAAAGCTAACAACAAGCCGAGTCGAATGGTACTAGTCTCATAGTTCTAAGGTTACTGTAAGTAGAGATATGGTAGATTTGAGTTTTGGGATCAAACTACAGTAACCCAAAAAATCTGTCGAATCTAGTCAATAGTATACTCATTTGAAAGCTCTTGACCAGTCAAGTCGAATGGTACCAGTTTCATTTCTCTAGGATTACTGTAAGTATAGATACGGTAGTTTTAATACAACAACCGTAATCCACATTAATTTTTTGAATTGTTCCAGGTGGGTGCACCCATCCCAGGTGACACGTACGGCACCAACCGGCGAGTATCTACCATCGGGAAGTTTCATGATTCGTGGAAAGAAGAATTTCATGCCTCCAAGTCAGCTGGTGATGGGATTGGGTATACTGTTTCGTATGGATGAGGAATCCATCGAAAGACACGTGGCACTGGAAAAGGAGAAGCGAAAAGAGGAGGAGCCAGCAGCTGAAAATGCTGAAAATGAGCCAAAATTGCCCGAAAAGGAGCCAGAAATTGCTCCAGAAGACGTGGAATTCCCGGATGTTCAAATTCAGATTGGAAAAGAGGTCGAAGAGGTGTTCCTAATCGATATTGGACCAAAAAACGCCTCGAAAACCCTGAAAAATGTCCCGAAAACGGCTGAAAAATCGACAAAAACGTATCTGGAGGAGAAGTGTCAAAAAGAGCAAGTGCTCGCGGGTCCAAGCGCGAAAACTCAGAAGCGAAAGCAGCGGAAGGAGAAGATGGTGAAACAAAAATATAAGGATCAGACGGACGATGATTTGGAGCTCCATAAAGAGCTTCTGAAGCCACAGGGGAAATTGGGAAAATTGGAAGAGGAAAACGTGGAAAAACAGGAGAAAATCCAGGAAAAACCACCGAAAATTGAGCATTCCGTGCCGAAAACGGCCCAAAAAGAGGCTGCTCCAAAAGCTGAAAATCCGGACGAAGAAGAGCCAGAAGAAGAAGATGATAAGGAGGCCAACGCCGAGGAGCAGAGCATTTTGAGCAGTTTGACAGCTCAACCACTCGATGAGGATACTCTATTGTTTGCGGTTCCAGTGGTGGCACCGTATTCGGTAATTTTGAGCATTTTGAGCCAAAAACCAACTAAAAAACTGGAGAATTGAGTTAAAATAGCTTGAAAATGGAGAAAATTGGACTTCAAATGATCTTAAAAACGCCGAAATTGGTCGACTTTTGGCTGGAATTTGGAGGGGAAATGAGCATTTGGAGCCAAAAATGGACCAAAAATGACCCTAACCAGTCTTAAAATGCTCAAAATTTTTGGCTGAAATCTCGAAAATAGACCAAAAAGAGGCAAATGACCTGAAAAGTCCTATAAAAGGGCCTAAGTTGGCCTATTTTCGACTGTAAATTATGGGGGAAAATGAGCATTTTGAGTCAAAAATGAAAAAATAAATAAAAAACTGGAAAAATGACCTAAATTAGCCGATTTTTGATTGAAAATTTGGGAAAAATGACCTTTAAAAAGCTTAAATTGACGAATTTTGGGGAAAATGAGCATTTTGAGCCAAGAATAGACCAAAAAACTGGAAAACTGGACCTGAAATTACCTTTAAATGGCTTGAATTGGATGATTTTTGGTTGAAAATTTGAGAAATTTCGACTTAAAATGACCTTAAATCGCATATTCGGTAAATTTTAAGCTAAAATGGGCCAAAAATGATCTTTAAATGGCTGAAAATTAAGCAAAATTGACTTAATGACGGAAATTTCAGGTTTTTTGAACGAAAAAATTCGAAAATTGGACCTAAAATGGCCTTTAAATGGCTTAAATTGGCGTTTTTTTTTTTGGCTTAAAATTTGGGGAAAATGAGCATTTTGAGCCAAAAAATGAACGAAAAAGCTTGAAAAATGGCGCTGAAAATGCATGCAGCATTCGCTGATTTGTGGCTGAAAATTGAGCGAAATTGGCCTAAAATGACCTCAAAACGGGTGTATTTCTGAATAAAATCAAATTTCCAAGGACTACTACTGTACCTACTTACCGTAATCCTCCCCCCGCATTTTTCAGGCTCTCTCAACATACAAATACCGTGTCAAAGTGACACCCGGAATCGGGAAACGCGGAAAAGCGACGAAGCAGGCGATCGAGCTGTTTACGGTGAGTCATAGGCCACGCCCACTTTTTTTGGGGAAATTTGAAATTTTGAAAAAAAAAATTTTTTTTTAATTTTTTTTCTGAATTTTTGCCTCAAAAAATTGTTGTTCTTTTTTTCTTCAATTTCAGCCGAATTTTTCAAATTTTTTTCAAATTTTTCAGCGCCAAAAAACGGACCGACAAGCGGCACTGATCAAATCACTACTGTCTGACGACTCTGCGTCTCGCAATCTTCCAACGAAAATTCGCATCTCTGCACCACAACTACATGCTAAATAGTGGCTGAAATTTTGGGGAAAAAATTTCAAAAAAAAAAAAATTGTTTTTTTTCCAAATTTTGAATTTCTCAAAATTTCTGTGTTTTTCTTTCCAATCATTTGTGTTACTCTCTAATTGAAATTCCAGAGTTTTCCGGTCCTTTTTTCTCGGTATTTTCTTTTTATTCGATATTTTTTCTGGTCGATAAAAATGTTTGTTTTTAATTGAACAATCCGATTTTTTTGAAAATTTTTTTAAATTGAAAAATTGAGATTTTCTTTAAAAAATCAACAACAGAATAATTTCTATCCAATAATTTCTATAATTTCAACAACCAAAATATCAACGAAGAAAAGCTCAAAAATCAAATAAAAATGATGCTAATTTCTGTACAAAAAGAAGTCCTGATCGAGACACGAATCGTGGAATTTCGAATTTCGATACAGCTGAATGAAGTATTTGGCGGCACGATCGAAATCCCATCGCTCGCCCATACTCGCATTGATACGGTAGTCGTTTGCAGCACATGTCAGCGCTAGGATCTCCTAAAAAATTGAAATTTTGGGATTTTTTGGGTTTTCTGGGTTGCTAAGCAACTTGCCATACTACAGTAACCACCATTTTTCAGAGCTACAGTAATTCCGGTAGAATGCAGTAAATTACAGTAATCATCCGGAATTTCTCTTATTTCAGAATTTTCGGATTTCAGATTTTTTTTCTCAATTTTCGCTAACTACAGTACACAGTTGCTACAGTAATCCACAGAGAAGCTGCAATAGCAATATTACAGTAACCCTTAGCCTCAACACATCTACCGTATTCTACAGTAATCCTAATAGCGTGGGATTCATAAGACACAGTAATCTCTATCTACCGTATCCTACAGTAACCCTAATCCTGTTCTCATATTGTGCAGACTTTTGGCTGAAAATCTAGCTGAAAGACTATAAAAAGCGTCTTTTTTAATGAAAACTGGCTTAGGATGAGCAATTGTAGAGTTTAGATAGAGCTACAGTAAACCGATAGGGTACAGTAATCCTCTATAGTAATTCGCCGGAAGTTTTGGATTTTTGGAATTTCACAATTTTTTCGCTAACTACAGTAACCCTACAGTACACAGACTACCGTCCATCAACATAGTTGCTACAGTAATCCAGAAAGGCTACAGTACCAAAATCTACAGTACCCCAGAGTCTGGAATTCGAAAATTTAAAAAATTCAAAAGTTCCGCCTGCATCCTACAGTAATCCCCATTTCTGTAATCCTACAGTACTCCTGAGCTGCTCTGGAAATAGGATTTATGTATTCTACAGTACTCCAATCAGCTGCAGTAGCAGTTCTACAGTAACTTTGATGACAGTAATCTCTATCTACAGTCTTCCCCACAATAACCCAATGAGCTACAGTAATCGCATATGATACATTCCTTTTTCTACAGTAATCTTCTGGAATTTCAGAATTTTTCAGATTTTCTAAATTTTTAGAATTTTTCCAACAACAGTAATTCAGAAAGGCTACAGTAGGAAAAATACATTAACCCATGGTCATTACAGATATTCTACCGTATCCTACAGTAATCCTAATTGCTACAGTAACCCTGGTAGCATTTTCATAACTACAGTAATCCTACAGTAACTCAAAAAGCTGCAGTAGCAAATCTACAGTAACCTTGAGTCTCAAAACATATCCTAATCTATAGAAATTTCAAAAAGGACTAGAAAAAGCTACAGTAATCCTCTATATTATTCCTGAACTCGAACCAGATTACCGTAGCCTACCGTACTCCAAAGAGCTGCAAGCTGCGGTGACCTTGATACAGTAATCGTTATCTACAGTAACCCCGAATCACAAGAAATCTACCGTATCTTACAGTAATCCAACTGAGCCACAACAATTTTTATTCAATTGCTCAGCTTAAAATATGAATTTAAAGACGGCAATTTCAGTAAACGTAACCCATCCAGAAAGGCTACAAGTACCAAAATCCACAGTAAGCCGAAATCAGGAATTCGAGACATTTCTGAAATTCGAAAAATACAGTAATCCCAATTTCATAGGATACTGTAATCCTACAGTACTCCTGAGCTGCTCTGGAAATAGGATTTCTGTATTCTACAGTACTCTAAAGAGCTGCAATAGCAAATCTACAGTATGTCTACAGTCTCTAGAGCTTTCAGTAATTTTGCTATTGTAGCCTTTGTGGATTACTGTAGCTCGACTATGGATGGAATACGGTAGTTTTCTAGAAGACTACAGTAATCCTACAGTCTAGTTACACAGCCACAGGCTACCGTAAACCATGCTACAGTTGTCAAGGATTACTGTAGGAATACTGTAGGATTTTAATTTTGACCTTTTTCAGCCAGTTTCAAATACTTCAAAATTCCAACATCTCCAAATTCTCAAAACTCATCTGAAATTCAGATTTTCAGCCTAAAATTTGCCATCCATAATCGCTACAGTAATTTTACAGTAATCCAGAAAGGCTACAGTACCAAAATCTACAGTAACCCGAAACCTGGAAATCGAAACATTTCTGAAATTCGAAAATTTCAAAAAATTAAAAGTACCACACCTGTATCCTACAGTATACCCCATTTCTGTAATCCTACAGTACTCCTGAGCTGCTCTGGAAATAGGATTTCTGTATTGTTGAATACAGTACTCCAATGAGCTACAGTACCAAAATCTACAGTAACCCGAAATCTGGAAATCGAAACATTTCAAAAAAATCAAAAATACTAAAATTCGGGGGGTACGACGAATTCGAACGCTTCCAAAGTCGAACATGTGTCAAAACAGAACAAGAGCAGAATCGAACTGCGCGAAATTCGAACTGTGTCGGAGTCGAAATGTCCCTAATTGGAACGTTGTTAGCCATGGGGCGCGCTTGCATTATTTTGATTTCGGGTTACTGTAGATTTTGGTACTGTAGCCTTTCTGGATTACTGTAAAATTACTGTAGCGATTATGGATGGCAAATTTTAGGCTGAAAATCTGAATTTCAGACGAGTTTTGAGAATTTGGAGATGTTGGAATTTTGAAGTATTTGAAACTGGCTGAAAAAGGTCAAAATTAAAATCCTACAGTATTCCTACAGTAATCCTTGACAACTGTAGCATGGTTTACGGTAGCCTGTGGCTGTGTAACTAGACTGTAGGATTACTGTAGTCTTCTAGAAAACTACCGTATGCCATCCATAGTCGAGCTACAGTAATCCACAAAGGCTACAATAGCAAAATTACTGAAAGCTCTAGAGACTGTAGACATACTGTAGATTTGCTATTGCAGCTCTTTAGAGTACTGTAGAAGCGTTCGAATTCGTCGTACCCCCTAAAATTCAAAAGTTTCACATGTGTATAGGATTTCTGTATTCTACAGTACTCCAATGAGCTGCAGTAGCAAAATCTACAGTAACGCAAACCTGAATATCATCACTGGGCTCTTTTCTCATCTCCTCGATTCCCAATAGCTTCAAATAAGTGAAATCTTCGGTTCGATTGAGTGAAAAAAGTAGAAAATCGGCTAGATAGTACAAATTGACATGTGATTCGAGTACCAAATCACACAGTGCCAGTTTCATTGCATCCGAAACGTTTCGAGAATTCGGCGACAGTACTCCTGGGGTGTCGATTATGTAGATGGGCGGTTTGTCCATTATTCGAACACGATTCTGCACTCAACTGTCACTCCCGGACGGGCGCCTGCTTCTACCTGAAAGTGGGCGAAGCTTAGAAGAAGGGGGGCGGAATCTGAGAATTTGGAAAAAAAATTCTAAATTTTCGAAAAAAAAACGGCCAAAAATGATCATCCTGAAAAATGACCAAACAGTGGAAAAAGTGGGCGGAGTCTAGAAACTTCTTTAAATCAGGGTTGTCTTTCAAAAAGTGTTCGGAGTCTGAAAAGTTTTCTAGAACCCAACTTGAGCAATTAGCAATTTGGACGAATTGAAAAGTTTAATAACAAAAGTGAAAAAGTGGGCGGAGCTTAGGACAGAAAAGGGGCGGAGTCTAACGTTTTTCATATCTTCTTGAAGTTTCTGTAATTTTTCCAAAAGCATTCTAGGCACCAGTAACAGTGTTACAGATATATAAAAAAAAATAGTGGGCGGAGCCTAAAGACAAAAAAGAAACAATCATAAAATTGGAAAAATGGGCGGAGCTTAAGGGACAAAAGTCACTCCCGGACGGGCGCCTGCTTCTACCTGAAAGTGGGCGGAGCTTAGAAGAAGGGGGGCGGAGTCTGAGAATTTGGAAATAAATTCATTTTTATATTTTCAAAACAGGACCAAAAAATGAGTTTAAAAATGGCCGATAGGCGACCTGCAAAAAGTGGGCGGAGCTTAGGACTAAAAAGTGGGCGGAGCCTAAAGACAACAAAAAAAAAACATAAAATTGGAAAAGTGGGCGGAGCTTAGGAGACAAAAATGGTCTAATTTCGGAAAAATTATGTCTAGACTCGTAGAAAAGTGGGCGGAGTCTATAAAAACAGGGGCGGAGCCTGTTTTTTTTTAATTTTCTGCAAAAACTAAAAATTGGAAAAAGTGGGCGGAGCCTCTTTCTCAAAACCTCAAATCGAACAGAAAATGACTTCAAAAAGGGGCGGAGCCTAAATTTCGATTTTTTGGAAATTTTGATTTTCCAAAAATGACTAAAAATGCCACATTTTCGACTAATTTTTAGTGGGCGTGGCTTGATTAGTTCAAGCTCCGCCCCTTTTTTCCTAGCTCCATTTTTCTGGGTTTTTGGCTCAAAATGGCTCATTTCTGTTTAGTTTTTTGGCTTAAAAATGCGGATTTTCATCTATTTTTCCTTGTGTTCTCGGTTACTTTTAGTGGGCGTGGCTTGTTGGCTCAAGCTCCGCCCCCTTTTCCGAATCTCGCGTGTTTGGCTTAAAATGGCTCATTTTCGGCGGATTTTCTTGGTTTTTGGCTTGAAATTCCTCATTTTCAGCCGATTTTCAGCCAAAAAACTAGAAAAACTCACTGCTTTGCGTTTAATTCCCAATGTATGCGTTCGAATCGCATTGATTAGCGATGATTTTCCAACATTTGGAATTCCGACGACCATTGATTGATATTCGGTTTTGACGGTTCGATTGAATCGTTTTGACGACTCCAGTGCATGCAACATTGACGTTTTCACATCGTTTAGGGCTCTGAAAATCGAGATTTTTGAAAAAATTCGAAAATTCGTTTTTTTTTTTCGAATTTTCAGCATTTTAGGAGTTTTCTAGGCCACTTTAGACCATTTTTCCATGAAAACCCCTAGGTCATCTGAAAAATTCAAATTTTTGAAAAAAAAAATTTTGAAATTTTTTCAAAATTTCGAAAAAATCAAATTCCAGATTTTTGTAATTTCCTCGCCTGTTTAGTTTGTTTTTGTGAGAAAAAATCGTTTGAAATGGCCTAGAAAAGCCCTAGGTCATCTAAAATCTAAAAATTCAAACTTTAGAAAAAAACAATCTTTATGAAAATTTCCAAAAAAAATTATTTGGAATTTTTCAAATTTTTTATAATTTAAATTCCGGATTTCTGTAGTTTTCTAACGACTTTTATCGATTTTTCAATGAAAAAATGGTCAAAAATGGCCTAGAAAACCCTTAAACTGCAAAGAAATGCAAAACATTTTTTTTTTCGAAAATTTTGCAAAAAAATTATTTTTTCAAATTTTTGAAAAACTTGAATTCCAGAATTCCGCGATTTAACAAAAATCGCGGAATTCTGGAATTTGAATTTTTCGAAATTTTGAAAAATTAAAAAAATTTTTTTTTTTTTTTGAAATTCAAATTTTTAGGCCATTTTTGATCATTTTTTCATTGAAAAATCGATAAAAATCGTTAGAAAACTACAAAATTCCGAAATTTATGTTATATATTTAGAAGATTTATTATAGCCGGTAATTATTGAAAAATTCAAAAAAAAAATTTTTTTGAAAAATTCAAATTTTTAGATGACCTAGGGCTTTTCTAGGTCATTAAAACCGAAATTTTCACATTAAAAACGTCCAAAAATCACCTGGGAAGTCGCTTTTTGCAGTCTGTAAAGAGCACCTTCTCAATGCCCATATCATAGTAGTAGTCCTCGATTTTTTGTCTGAAAATCCGGATTTTTTTGAAATTTCCAGCTTAAAAATCGATTTTTCAGTACAAACTTGTATTTTTTCATGTCGATTAGATCGCATTTATTTAAAACCAGGATATGAGGCCGAATTGCGTACAGATGCCGGAAGAATTGCTCATTTCGACCGGTAACCGGGATTCTGGCGTCGTGGACCTGGAAATATCGATTTTCAGGGCAGAAAATGAATTTTTCAGAGTTTTTTTGGCCCGAGAAATGACCTTTTAAGCGTTTTTTGGCCTAAATTAGCTGAATTTAGGCTAAAATTGAATTTCGGCGGATTTTGACCGATTTTTATGATTTTTAGGTTGTTTTTGGTGGTTTTTTGATGGAAAATATGCAAAAAACGGTCTAAAATTAGTTTAAAACACCAGAAAACTATTTTTTTTTTAATTTTCGGCCACACCTCAATAACCAAATCCACCGATCTCAATTTCGCTTCCATTTTCTTCAACTGCACCGACATGTGCATCGGAAACCACTGCCGGTAGTCGTATTGTGCGGGCAATTGGAAGTTTTCGCGGAATTCTGAATAGAAAAATGAAAGAAAATCAAATATTTGCTCGAAAAATTGGCATTTACCTGGTGCCACTGCATGAAAATGCCTTGTTGTGTGCAAAAATCGACGAGAAATTTGCATTTTTATGAGATTTTCAAAAAAAAATTGGGTTTTTTCCTGAATTTTTGAAGTTTCTTAACCCAATTATGCCTGAAATTGCATAAAAAAATAGAGATTTTCTCTGCGTCTTGTTTCTCTAGCGCGTGCAGATAGAGCGCGTTTGCAGCGGGACAAGTTTTAGAATTTTAGAAAAACTGGAATTAGGTGGTTTCGGAGTAGAAATTTGATATTGAAAAGTTGATAAGCCGCTTGGAAATAGGATGAGCTACATTTTGATATGCAAAACTTTTAAGTATAGGCCAATAATTCAAGAGAAAAATAGAAAAAAAAATGTTCTCAACAGGAATTTTTAGGATTCTTCAATTTTTTTTCCCGACTGCTTTTTTCAAATCTGTAAAATTTGGTTTTTTGTATTGTAAGTTTTGGATTCTAAAGACAAATTCGATATTTTTGCTTATAAAAAGTTATAACATTTTTTTGAATGTTTAATTTGAATATTTATTTGCAATTCTTAAAATTTTCTTTTTCTTTCTCTCTTCTTATTATGTTCCCATGAAATCCGGATTCGAATTCTCAAAAATTCCCCCATTCCTCAAACCAATTTTCAAATTTCCTCTAAAAACCCTCTGCGTCTCCACTCTCTCCTCCATAGCCATCGAGCGCGCTTGCATCGGCAACCTGGAGTTTTTCTATTTTCCCTTTCCAGAACTTCAAAATCGTCGATTTTCAGCGTTTCCCACCAAATTTTCTGGATTTTCATCTATTTTTATCGATGAAGCGTGTGATAAGCTCTATTTTAATATGTTAAACTTCTCTGGAAGTGCCATAAATCGTCTGGAATAATTTTTATTACTTTTTTTGCGATTTTTTAAGTTTAATAAAGTTTCCATTTCAATTTTTCCCCAATTTTCGCTCAATTTTTTGTAATCTCTCTCTTTCATTTTCATCTCTTTTACCTACATTTGTTTTCAATTTTTCCCCACGGATCAGCAGCCGGCCGGCTCACTCATTGTGTAATAAAAGAAGCCGTTTCTCTCTTCTTTCTCCTCGAATTTCGTATTTTTCCTAGTGTTTTGCACCAAAAATTCGCGAAAATCAATAATTTTTAGGTGTCCGGAAATCGAAATTCTGACATTTTTAGATGAAAAATGTCAATTTCGAGTAACGAAGATCGAAATGGGCGGGGCCAGGTGGATATGAGCCTATATCCACCGTTCATCAGACAGGTAGGGCTGAAATCGACTGAAAAATTTGAATTTGGCGTCAAAAATGTTCCAGCTAGACGCAAAACTGCCGGACTACACTAGAGAAGGAGATATCGAATATCCGTTTGAGGAAATCACAGGTGTTGGAGATGAGAATAGGATAAGAGGTAGCTGAAAATAACCTGAAAATTTGAATTTCCCGCGAAAAATGAGTCTAGACATCAAATTTGTGGGTCTTAACACCACGAAAAATTGGATTCTCTAGCATTTTTTAGCTCTGAAAATCTCTAAAAATTGATGAAAATTCCAGGAAATTGGAGCAACAAATCGGACTATTTGTTGGCTGTAATTGGATTTACAGCTGGTGTGGGTAAGTGAAAAACTGGCTAAAAATTATGAAAAATTGGAAAAATTCCCCAAAAATGCTGAAAAAAGCGATTTTTCCCAAAAAAAAAAAAGACTCTAAAAAAGCGAAAATTCAGAGTTTTTTCATTTTTTAAACTTGAGAAAAAAAAAAAATGAGAAAAAAAACCGGAAAAATCATTTTAAAGTTTTTTTTTAATGCCGAAAAATGAACAAAAATTCAATTTTTTCGAATTTTTAATTAATTTTTATTTTAAAAAATACTGAAAAACCGGGAACTTTAAAAATGTCCAAAAATTACCGAAAAATGGCTTGAAATCACCTAAAACTAGCCTAACATGACCTAAAAATGGTCTAAAATGGCCCTAAAACTACTTGGAATGGCCTAAAATAACTTTTAAATGTCCAAAAATGAAAAAAATGACTTAAAACTGGTCTAAAGTAACTTAAAAATGGCCTACAATAACCTGAAAATAGCCTAAAATGACCTAAAAATGGCCTAAATTGACCTGAAAATGGCCTAAAATGCCCTTAACTAGGTCTAAAATGACCTCAAAATGACCAAAAATAACTTTTAAATGTCCAAAAATGACCTAAAAATGGCCTAAAATGACTTAAAACTGGCCTAAATTGACCGATTTTTGGCTGTAAATTATGCAAAAATTGCCTTCAAATAAGCTTAAAATGGCATTTTCTGCATTTTTTTCCCAGTTTTCAGGCGAAAATTGCTGAAAAATCACCATTTTTTCCAGTTTTTTCCCCTTTGGTCCAATGTCCAAAGGGCGAAATAGCCACAAAAAAAACGAAGGAGAATGGTCAGATTTTGTTATCTGACACCATTTAAAACAGGTCAAAAATTGGAGAGAAAACGAGAGAAAAAGAGACGTACGATACGTGAGAGAATTGATAATTGATAATTGATAATTGTTGATAAGAGATTTCTTCTGATCACCCTTCTGATTTTCCTTGATTTTTTTCCGTTTTTTTTTCAATTGAAATTTGATGAAAAATTGGGAAATTTGAGCGGAAAAGTGGCAGAAAAACTGATTTTTAAAATTTTTTATTTTCAAAAAAAAATTTTTTTTTTTATAAAAAATGATTTTAACCATTTTTGTACTTATGAACTGCAAAATAAACAGAAATTTGAATTTCGAAAAAAAATTAAAAATGGAATTTTCCAATTTTTGCTATTTTTAACTGAAAGTTCTGAATTTTTCGAAAATCTGAAAATTTCTGAAATTTTGAAAAATCTGAAATTCTGAAATTTTCAAAAATCAAAATTTTCTGAAATTTTCAAAAATCTGAAATCCTGAAATTTTCAAAAATCCGAAATTCTGAAATTTTCAAAAATCTGAGATTCTAAAATTTTGAAGAATCTGAAATTCTGAAATTCTGAAAAATCAGAATTTTCTGAAATTTTGAAAAATCTAAAATTCTGAAATTTTCAAAAATCAAAATTTTCTGAAATTTTGAAAAATCTGAAATCCTGAAATTTTCAAAAATCCGAAATTCTGAAAATTTCAAATTTTCGAAAATCTGAAATTCTGAAATTTTCGAAAATCTGAAATCCCGAAATTTTGAAAAATCTGAAATCCTGAAATTTTCGAAAATCTGAAATTCTGAAATTTTGGGGGAAAATAGGGAAATTTGAGCTGAAAAGTCGCAGAAAAACTGTTTTTTTAAAGAAATTTTTACGAAAATTTGATTTTTCAAAAAATATTGAAAATTTGAATAAAATTGAATTCTTCCATTTTCCGAATTTTTAAAGCCAATTTTTGTCATTTTTAAACCGAAAATTTGACCTCTTTTCTCCCATTTTTCGTCTCAAATGACCAAAAATCGTTAATTTCAAAAACAATCGAAAGTTTAGAATCATGTGATGTTTTTTTTTTGCCGTTTTTTCGTGTTTTATTTATTTTGAAGACAAACTTTTTTCCCTTTTTTTTCTCTATTTAAATAAGTAATTTAGAAAATTATAGCAAAAAAAAATTTGCTGGAAATTTGAAAATTTTTTTTGAAAATTCAAAAAATTACAGAAATTCTGATTTTCATAAATTTCGAAAATTTGGCAGATTTTTGAATATTTCAGATTTTCAGATTTTCAAAAATTTCGGAATTTCAGTATTTTTTTTTTCAGAAAATCTAGATTTTTCAGAACCAAAATCTTTAAAAATTTCCAAAAATCGATTTTTCGAAATTTCATATTTTTGAAAAATAAATTTCATATTTTTGAAAAATTGGCATTTTGGGAAGTAGAATTTCTCTGAAAAATCCCGAAATTTTGTTAAAATTTTCCTTTTTCTCAATTTTTTTAAAAACTAAAATTTTGAAAAAAACCGCGAAAATTCCTAAAATACTGATTTTCATAAATTTTAGAATTTCCGAATTTTTGTAAATTCTCTCTATTTAATTAAGTAATTTAGAAAATTATAGCAAAAAAAATTTGCTGGAAATTTCATAATTTTATTTTCTGAAAAAGTTGAAAATTTGGAAATTTTTTTTGAATTTTGGAATTTTTTGAAAATGTTTGAAAATTTGATTTTTCAAAAAAAAAATTTTTTTTTCGAATTTCAGGATTTTTAAAATTAAAATCTGAATTTTTTGAAATTCTAAAATTTATGAGAATCAGGATTTAAGGAATTTTTGGTTTTCTAAAATAATCCTGAAATCCTGATTTTCATAAATTTCAGATTTTCGAAAAATTCAGAAATCTGAAAATTTGAAAATTTGATATTTTTGAAATTTACAAAAATCTGGAATTTTGAAATTTTTTGAAAATTTGAAATTCTGAATTTTTCGAAAATCTGAAATTTTGAAAAATCCGAAATTCTGAAATTTTCAAAAATCAGAATTTTCTGAAATTTTGAAAAACCTGAGATTCTAAAATTTTGAAAAATCTAAAATTCTGAAATTTTGAAAAATCTGAAATTCTGAAATTTTCAAATTTTGAAAAAATCAGATATTGAGGTTAAAAAACTTGAATTTACAAAAATTCGGAAATTCTAAAATTTATGAAAATCAGGATTTTAGGAATTTTCGGTTTTTTTTTCAAAATTTTAGTTTTAAAAAAATTGAGAAAAAGGAAAATTTTAACAAAATTTCTGGATTTTTCAGAGAACTTCTACTTCCCAAAATGCCAATTTTTCAAAAATATGAAATTTCGAAAAATCGATTTTTGGAAATTTTTAAAGATTTTGGTTCTGAAAAATCTAGATTTTCTGAAAAAAAAATACTGAAATTCCGAAATTTTTAAAAATCTGAAATTCCGAAATTTATGAAAATCAGAATTTCTGTGATTTTTTGAATTTTCCGAAAATTTTTTATTGAGAAAATTAGTTTTAAAAATTGAATAAAAAATTACAAAAATCGTCCCAAAAAGCTGCGAAAAATTGGAAAAAAATTCTGAAATTCAGAATTTTTTGGGCTACTGTAGTTTGAGCTCAAAAATCAAATCTACCGTATCTCGAGTTGCAGTAGTCCTGGAAATTTGAAATTGCTACCATTTGACTTGGAAAGTCAAGAGCTTTGAAATGAGTATAATCATGACTAGTTTTGCAAACATTTTTGGGGTACTGTAGTTT